AAATTAGGTGTCTATTTACTTGTGACCACTCAGTGTAAATATATAAAGCTGAAATATATCGTACAACCTGAAAGAACATATGTTGTCAACTATAGTCTGGTGACAGGCCAAGTAGAACATACAAATTAGTACATTCAGCTTAAGAATCAGCAACTTTAATTTGCTTTTTTTTATTATTATTAAAGAACAGAAACTAAAAGTAAAATATTTTTCAATACTGAAAAAAATATGACATACAAAGTTCATTTTTCTTTCAAATAAAAATACAAAAATGAAACTAGAAAATATTTACTTCTCTTCAGACACAACAAGATGAAAAGCCAAATGTTAGCTTTAAGTCTTACCGAACTTAGCAATAAATTTAACAGTTTATGAAAAACAAAATTATTTCACCATAATCATTTTATTTCAAAGCATCCAGACAGTTTATTTTTTTGAAACAATTTTTATATGCTCAACGACATTTGATCTTCAAACTAAATATAAAGCTTATCAACCTGTATCAAAAAAATATGCCTGAAAATTTCCTTAAAAAGTAAGTGTACCAAATTATGGTTGAATACATGCAGATCATTGCATCATTTTCTTATGTATTGGTTTATGAAAATATGTACTTCTAGTCTGTTTGTTCCTTAGAGTTGGCTTCATTAATTTATAGATTATTTTTAGTTCTCATCTATATAGTTAGCTGACTTCTGATCAAAAGTCATTAACAATACATTAAAAATAAAATTATTTTTCTCAAATATGGACATACACACAATAAAAAAAACTATACAAGATACACATACCTACCCGTTAAGTATGTGTTAAATTCCTTAACACTTTACAACATTAGCCAATCATGTCACAGGATTAAATTCCATGTTTGGAAATCATAAATCAATAAACATATGAAGAGTTTTGGAAATATTTTGTTTTTATCTAATATGAAATAATGTAAATGAAGGCATATGAAGTATCTAAATATTTCTAAACTCTTATAATCTTTTTACAGACATGTTGTTCTGAGTGCATAATTTGCAGTGTTCACAAAAAAGCAACTTCTACATTAAACTGCCATAGAGATTTTGTGTTAATTCTTCAAGGTAAGCACCAAAACTAATCAATGAAATGTTAAAAATTACACTAAATATAGCATGGTATTAAAAAAACAAAATAATTATCCTTTAGAATTATGTCACTGAATAGTACACACTTGTAAGTTTATGAAGTAACCCTCAAGAAACTGTTAAAAAAGCAGATGATAACCTTCCTTGGCAGATGAGTTATACAGTAATGACTTACCAAGTTTTTTATAAGCTGTATCACTTCTTTCTGTTTCAAAATCATGGAATATTAATGAAACTTCTTCTCCATGGTTCTGCAACTTATGAGCCCAGTAATAAGCTAATCTTAAAGCAAGATAAGTTTTTCCACTATAAGAAGGGCCTGACAAAATAATACCACAGGAACTTTCAAGCTGTAGAAAGTAAATTAATCAAGTTATTAAAGGAACATTTTGCCACTATGATTACAACCTAAGAGAATAATATTACAGAAACCTACATGCTACAGAAATTTATTAAAGTTTAAACTGAATATACACACATATATTTTAAATTTCATTTTATTATTAAAATCAGTAACAATCATAAGCTATATTTCTAGTCGAAGTGTTTTACAAGTGGGTTTTGATATAATTCAGTTGAATATAAAGAATAAAAATCTGTGTTTCTTAAATTAACCATGCAAACCCTTATTTAACTATTGCGAACTAAGCTCTTAATGTTCAAGAAAATAACAATTTGTATGAAAAAGGTAGTGTTCAGAGAGCTCACCAAATGGAATATGAAGTTTAATGTTTGTACTGGAAGTAATGTGTCTCCCACTAAGTCTGCAAGATTGCCTTCAGTTTCATCTGCCAAAATACAAAACATTAAAGACAGCATTTACAAACTGTTATGTATCCAATGATTTAGAAAGACAAAAAAAAATATATTTTAACAATTATTGATACAGTATAACAAACATCTATACAAACTCAGAAAATAATGAATCTCCAACATTAAACAAAAGAGATTTGATAAATCACACATGCATACCTACACAACAGAAAGGTAAACTGAACATGTTAACTTGTAAGATCAACAGTGTATCATTTCTCGTTTGGATAACATATGTGATATTAAGAAAAGGCAAGTTTATCACTAATTAACTCTTTCAATCCGTGTTCAGTCCCTGGGATCGACCTCGTAACCATTTTGTACTTGTTAAAGTTTTCATGCTATAACTTTTAAATTAGTAAACGAATGTTAACGAAATTTGGCAGTTTATCAGTAAACATTACAATGCTTTCATATGCAAAATATCTAATTTTGTTATTAAGTCTTAAGGTTTGTAAAGCAATGTTTCTCTCATGCCTTTTTTTTCTTTTCACATGTTGCCTATCCAACATGCAAAGTAATTTTCATTTTAAGATTAAAAATACTTTTATGCATAAGAAAATTTTGAAATTTCACATGCAAAATCTTTATAATATCCAGATAGTTATCAAACATTTCTTAACAAAAACTTTATATTTTATCTGTTATTTTCAGTAATTAATCTCTGTATGGGTTCAGTAAATTTGACCGATCTCGCAACCTCTATAAAAAAATCAGGAAATAAACATAAATTATGCCTCTTTCATTCTAGAAAGAACACAAATTATAACACGAAAACATAAATGTTAAAACG